GGTCAGCAAGTCACCCACTGAATCCACTCAGCCCAAGCGTTCCTCAATTCCATCAAGAACATAAGAATAGACCATGACAATACCATGGTATTATTTGACGTTACTGCCCTATTCACATCGATAGACATACCACTAGCAAGGGAATCCTTGGCAATGCTACTAAAACAAGACCCGAGCGACACCATCTCCACAGACAACATGCTGAAGCTACTGGACCTACGCCTCACCACCCACTTCACCTTCAATGGGTAAATATATGAACAGATCAACGGGACACCCATGGGATCACCTATCTCCGGACTAATAGCTGAAGCGGTGATGCAGTGACTTGAAAACATGGCCCTTCCGCTAATCCAATCGAAACTATGGATACAATACGTGGATGACTCCTTTTTTGTCATTATTAAACGAACCAAACTAGAGGAAACACACTAACTAACTAATTACCAACACCCTCACCGGGATCAGATTCACCAGGGAAGAAGAAAAGAACAAACAGCTCCCATTCCTGGATGTCATGGTGGAACGCAGGACCAATGGGGAATTCCTAACAAAGGTACACAGGAAAGCCACACACATTGACCAAGTACTGAAATTCAAAAGCAACCACCATAACACACAGAAACAAAATTGCGTGAGAACACTATTTAAGCAGGCAAAACACACTGCAGCAAAACAGAACTATGCCAAAAAGAAGAGTACCTCCAAGTATTCAAAGACAAAGGATACCTGGAAAAAAAAACTGGGTCAGAAGACGCCTATTACACGAATGACACCAGGAAGATACTGCACGCACCGACGCACTCATCACGCTACCTTGCATCAAGAACACATCTTAACTGACCATAAGACTCCTACGACCACTGGGCATCAGAGTAGCACACAAACCCACATCAACCCTACGACAACTGCTCACCCGAACCAAAGACCCACTACCCACTGTGGACAGGATAAGTGTCATATACAGGATTCCCTGCAGAGACTGTGACAAACGCTACATGGGACAAACAGGAAAGAAATTAACAACAAGGGTACATGAACATCAATTGGCTACAAAAAGACACGACCAGTACTCACTCATCTCATCTCTCTCCACATGGATAAGGAGAACCACCAATTCGACTGGGACAACACCAAGATCTTGGGACAAGCAAAGCAGAGACAAGCATGGGAATCCCTAGAAGCTTGGTTCTCCACGAAGAAAGCCATCAATAAACACACAGAGCTAGACTCCATATACGTTCCATTGCAAAGGAAAACTGGAAGTGAGGTAACCCAGCTCAACAGATACCAGAGTTTAAATAACAGGCGGCGGCTGCACTGATGATGTTACCCAGCAGGGTAATGGAACGTCTGCAGAACGAACCAGCTTGGCAAGCCAACCAACAACAATAAGAAGCTATCTATCTCTGTCTCAAATACACTCAATCACCTGGTCTTCACAGTCCTCTGCAGCAATGTGTTCTACTAATTGACCTCCATCTGGCTGAAGAAATTCCTCCTTTTCTTTATTCTAAGGGGTTGTTTTGTCATCCTGAGTCTGTGTCCTTGGGCCCGAGTTTCTCCTAATAATGGGAACATCTCCATGTCCAATCTATCCAGGCCTCTTAGTATAACGCAAGTTTCAATCTGATCATGCTCACACACACACACACACACACACACACACACACACACACACACACAC